AAAAAATAGAGTATTTTTCGTTAAAAAAAGATTGGTTTGTGATGGTAGTACCTTCGGAGTTTGTTTTTAATTATAAATTAAGTTTGTTCTTAATTACTAATTAAATCACGAAAAATCAATTTTTTGATTAGAGAAAAAAGCCATTTCAGATTTTCACTATAGAATTTTGAACAATAACAATAATTTTGTCAACATTATTGCTTCTAATTACCGACTTTCGTTCAATTCTAAAAACTTCAACAAATCAAAACAATTAATGCTACAATAATACCATTTCTAGCTCTTAATTTCTAATATGCATAATTCTTTGACAATAAATTTTGAAAAGATTCTAAAAATACATATTAAGAACTATGATTCATGAACAAAAAATAACAACAAAAAAAATAAAAATTGGTGGTGGTGGTGGTGAATGTGGAGTAAAAGACTATTTTTCATTGCACTGCTTTATGCTGAAGTTAATTTATTTACTACTGATATATGCGCACAATACGGTATCAAGTTTGAAAATGAGAAAGCTTGTGGTAGCAACTGCGGCGTCATAAAAATGACTACTACAAAAAAAATTTCAAAAATTATAAAACCTCTTCAATTTTGGGAAATGTATAATAATAAAATGAAGAGTTTGTGTATCTTTTTTATAACTTGAGAGCCATTTATATTAGCATCATGAAATTTAGACGGAGGGCGAGTGAAACGAGCAGTTTTAGCCTTATCCCAAAAATTGTTTTTATTAGATTGTTCTAGAGAGACTTTTGAAAAGTGGAATTTTTTCATTGGTTTAGAACGAATAATAACTACACTGTAGGAATTTTTAATACAAAATTAAGGTAAAATAAATGGCAGCAGTCTATCCATCAAATTAAGCGTTAAGTTTACGGTAGACATTTTTTTTCACCCTTATGGTTTTGAAGCAGTTCACAACTGGTATGGTTAAAAAAAACTTCAATACAAAGCAATACAGTTTTTAACCATTTACAACTACCATGAAAATCCCAGACTTATTGCGTTAAGCATCTTTATGCTGCCAATTACGCGCGAATGAGAGTATCGTATTCTAATAGTCCAGAGTTAAAAATTAGGGAGTGCAGAATTTCATGTGTTGAAGGGAATGGATTGAATTATGATAGTGTCATCACTAGGACACGATACCTCGAAGCCAGATAGATTAGCCCTTATATATATANAATACTTTAACCAAACTATATATATATACACATCATTTCTCTTTCGCGTTAGCAACAAAGAATTGAATTATCTTGCAAATTTCTGAATGAAAATCTTTTTCTCACGAGGACATCAAAAAGCTGAAGCAGACAGCTATAGTTGGGAAGAATTGAAAGTTTGAAAGTGAAACTAACAAAGTGTTGTATGTTAAATTGGCTTATTCAGGATTAATAATAATAATTTAATTCATTTTAATGGTTTTTCATTGAAACATGAATATTAGTCGTTCCGTCACGCTCTAAAATACAACTGTTACGTTTTTATGTTTCGCTGTTTTAATAAAATAAAAGCAGAAGAAAGCGTCGATGACTATGAAAGACATATAATAAAAATGCTTGGGAGACGCACAGTCAAGCATGCTGCTTTTTAAAAGCATAATTATTGCTTTGTTTCTGCAAGTTTTTTTTAAACAAGCCATTTATTTAAATTTTTCCATTTCAATACCTTATTATTGTCTAAATATTCGACTATTTTAAAGAGGAATTAATAAATAAATATTATTCATATAGTACTGACGTATGGACCGGGATAGCCTGGTTGACAAAGCACTGGATTCACACTTGTGAGAGTAGGCCGAATCCAGCCGGTCGATGACTGTGCTCTTTTTTCCCACAAGATCGAATTCAGCACTTGTCTAGGTAGAAAAGTTAGATGCATGAATACGTGCAAGTACAACAATGGGCCGGGATATCTAGGCTTTTTAAGGAGCTGGACTCGCGTTCATGAGAGAGAGAGAGAGAGTTCGAATCCAGGCGGCCGATGACTCCCCGTGTACGAAATGGTGACTGATGCACGTAAATCTGTCGGGTCCCAAAGTCCTCCATGTTCACAATCAATCAATCGAACAAATCATCACAAATCAATACCTCTGGGGGTACTGAATTGGAGAATTATCGTTCTCTGGTTCATTTCAAAATTATGATCTGTGGTCAAATGAATGGATGTATGAATGAGTCCGCCCTATGGGTGCGACGCATGATTGTGGCAGAAGTCAAAGACTTGGCCATAAATGTTGCCACTGGAAAGCAAGCACACCCCCCCCCTCTGCCTTAATGGTCGACGATGACAACACTGCTCATAATCAGTACCGGGCAAATCCCGTACTTCACGGTCGATGCAGCTAGATATATTATCGTCTCCAGTAAATATTGCATATAGTGTTTTTATTAATCCACCTTAGTATATTTTAATCGAATTCTGAACTCTGAAAGAAAAAACGCGTTTTAAAATCAAATTTCTAACAATGAAATTTTTCTGCCACATTATAAGACCCATAGCAACCTTGTAAAAGAAATTATTGACCTTTAAAGTCTTTCTATAAAAAGACTAATTTAATAAAATGCACCGAGGGATTTATGCAAATTGACGATGTCACATTTATTTCGAATTTATTTGGATTCATTAGTTTATTCTTTAAAAGAAAGAACAATGTTTATATTAGAAGTTTTAAAACGGAATCAAATGCAATGTCACTTTTTTTAAATAGATACGTCCACTTTCTTAAATAGCTCTGTCCATTTTCATAAACACTCATATATAACTGCTTTCATTTTCGTAAATACACGTTTTGAGCTGTCCACTTTTGTAAGCACGCATTTTGTGTTGAGTCCATATTCGTTTTAAGAGCTCAAATATAGCCGTCTATTCTGAGACTGTCTTTTTGCTTGAACATGAAAGAGAAAAACAAATGATAAGAAAGAAGATGTAAAGTTGCCTACGAAAAAATAGAAACAAAAATGTGGAAAAGCAATACTAGAAAAACCATGGTAGTCAAGTGCAAATCAGAAAATGAATAATAAATTACGATGAAAAAACAAAACTAGGAAAATCACAGTGGAAGAGAGAGACAAATCGAGGCAAAATGCATTTCCACACGCTATGGAGTGGTGGCGAGGAACTCTTGTCACTAACATATGTATCGGTATTTATGTAAAGCAATGTTTCAAGGTATCAAGATCAGCTAATGTGACAGGGTGGCAAGAATTTTGGCATTATCAAAAGTGAATTTATGGGCACGATTCCAACAATGTGCAAAAATCGATCATTTATTACATTCTTGATAATGACGTATATATTGCATTCCTTTAGTCAAAACTTAAAAAATAGTAGATTAAAACAGTTATTCACGGAAAAGTATCAACATGAATGCATGTCCCCCGAAGAAGTTTTTTGTCGTTTGTTCCATTTCAATTTTTATTTCAAATTAATTATAATTCTATAATATTTCTCATGTATAATCAATTCTTAATTATACGACAATTTTCAGGTTTATATTGCTTTAGAGTTTGCCAAAGTTTGTCTTTCATTTTTCTATTTTGTACTTAAATGTTACATCATCAAACTGATTTTTAACAGATTTTTATTTAAGAATATTATTCCATAAAACTTGTTCTATAAGCATTGTGAGACAGTAAATAAAAATGATGCATAAAAACTAAATTCATAAAATTTATGCGTAGAAACTCTTAGAGCTTTTGAGCTTTTTAATTAATTTTGACTAGCAAAAAAAAAAAAAAACTTTAATAATTTATCGTTTAGTTTTACATAAATAAAATATCATGAAAATTTCGACAAAATCAAAAATATGGAATACTTTAACCAAACTTATTTGTCCAGTTTTAAAATAAATGGTTCTTTTAATCGCCTCGAGTGATGTTGAAAAGTAATTTCAAATAAACGTATTAAGATAACTCAGCTCATTTTTGAAGGGTTTTACTTGGAACTTCTCTTTGACTGTCACCGTTCATTCGTCAGATTAGGATAATTTTGTTCTTCCTTCTTTTCTTTATTTTATTCACTTATATATTTTCTTTTCTACTTAAATATTATGTTTAACAAAACCTTTTTAGTACATTTCAATGCTTCACACTATTACGAAAAAAAAACTTTAAAAATGAGAATGAAAATGAAAGTAATGATGAACAAGGAAGGCAAGTTGAAAATCGTTAAGAAGAAACTTAGAAAGTGGTATAGATGACATTTAGAAACTCTTTTGAACTTCATCATTCAAATCAAATAAAGGAAAGAAAACATTAAAAGTAACAGCACTAAATTGACAATAAATATGAGAAAATTAAAAAATTATATTATATATTTGAAATATATAAGACACACTTGTGAAATATATATAAATATTTGAAATATATGGTATAATAGAGAGATCGCTGACAATAGAGCTTTTGTTTTCGGTTCTGTAGAATGATTTGAAATATTTGAAAGTTATTAATTTTTTTTTTAAATTTTTTATAACATTTGCTGTCAGTTTAACGCTGTTGATTTGAACTGTATATGTGTCTCTTTAATGTGACGTAACTTCTGCTGAATGGCATCATCTCTGATGTTGACTAGATCTTCTTTTATTTCTACTGATATTTATTCAAATGTGACACCACCAAAACGTAACGTTGTTTTTAAGGAAATCTAATTATAAGTTTCATTTTTAATTAATCTGAAAGATAACTGAAAGTAATACAGTTTTTGCACTTGTTTTCTTCCGTGTGAGTAATAACGGTAAAGCTATGGTGGTTAAACTAATAGAGAAAAGCTCTCTTTCAGTAGTAGACAGATCAAACATGAATTCACGCAGACAGTTAATGGGGAGGAGTTTAATGAGTTGTTTACATATGTTAAGAGCTTTTCATACTCATTTGATGATTTATCTACTCTTTTATATTTATTTTTCTCGACGACAATGTATAAATATTCTCTATACTTTGTCACGTCACCGTCGCACACACGACTTTCACAAAAAGCATTCACTTCATAAATGGGAATTCGCTTCAAGTAAATGCAGTTTGTTATGATCATAAACCTATTTTGAAGTTCAAAACTTAAAAATATTTAATTTGTTATTTTAAGCTAAATTTATTTCTAAAACTGTGGTTGGTAAGTATTATATTTGATAAATCTATTTGACTCCATTAAATTATGATCCGCGAAGGGAATGACCTACGTATTCAGATGTATAAATGCTCTTTAAATAGTTTGAGAAGCGAACTTAAATGATAAACGTCAAAGTACTCACTATGTCAAATAATTATTTTGTTTTTCGTTTAGGATAATTTCAACATGAGTAATCATCACAAATGTGGAAAATGTAAAGATTTAGAAAAAATTTGCACGCTAATAAATAGCGTGCTCTTTTTTAAATTGATTTTATTTATTTATAATATATTGACAGATATCAAAAGTTCAATCTTTGAACCAGCTTAGATTTTATTTTTAATTTTGATGAAATAAAATGAATTGAAGAAAACAGTTTTGAATAGCCATATATATTCCAGATACAAACCTAATGGTTAAGATTACTTATCTTACCAACATAGGCTATACTTTGTGCCATGCAGACTAAAGCAAAAAAGAAGAAAAAAAGTAAATAAAGCATGAATGAAAGCGACAATTACGTTTTATTTCTGCTCTGCGCTTGATCCGCTTTTCCTTCTTTTTTTCTTTTCACAATTATTTTTAAATTTTATTTCCAATATAATTTGCATAGGAGATGTTCCCTCTCTGACAATTGTTATTTTAGAAGTATCTTCTGATTATGGCACTTCATTTTATTCAAAATCGTCAGACAACAATATCACATTTACACTTCATATCTCTCAAAATCTATCTACATAGAAAAATCATAAGATTTTCTATTTAGGTTGCTCAACTTTGCGTAATTAGTTTAAGAGCAGTGAAACTTGTAATTAAAAAATGCCTTGTAGGGCACTCTGCAGCCGAGAAATTTGACATGGAAAAAAAGCAATTTTTATTCATATTGTGAGGGATGGTGAGCTCGTCATTTTAAGTTAAAACAATAAAATTACTGCAAACAACAATAAAAGATTTATTCATTTAATACATTTTTAATTAAGACTAATTAATCAGATACAAAAAAATGAGAGAATGAAAGATGATTTCCCGTTTTCCGTTCCATATTCTAACCACTCTTATAACTAAACAGCTAACTCTACACGCTTAATCTAATCAGAAAATGAATTCAATTTACAAAAGAGAAGAGAGACAAAGAAGTAAATAAACTATTAAAACATTAAATCAAAACGGAAAAGCGCCTGAAGCAGCTAAAACCAAATTTACTTTATTTAATTTAGAAATTCAATCAAACATTAAATTTTTAAAAATTAAAATTACGCGCTTAATTAAACCTTTCTCTTGAACTGCCTTATATTCTTTTTTTTTTTCTAATAAGCCATTGCCGAACTTGTCCTTCACTGCGTCCATTTGCATGTCTCCAAAGCAAAGTTTGAACTGAATCTTTTATGCTGTCTTCGATAATTAAACATTGGAAACTTCTTTGCATATCTGCTAAGGTGATTGTCTATGTATGTACGAGAAAAGAGTTAAACCCCAGCTCTGCTAGTTTCAACGTTGAAGGACATGTGTTGTTAATTATTGCGTTGAAGGACATATGCCGAGAATCATTAACTCGTTTTTTTAAACGATTGCTGACTTATATTTTTATGGCTATGCTGTTAAAAATTAAAATGAAACCTTTCTTGTAAAAATGTAATATACGTGATTTCTCTGTAAAAATTTAAAAGAATGTTGAATCATGATATTCTTCATATTCGCTTCAACCCCTATAGGACGTTAAACTGAACTCCACTGTTGGAAATTTCCTTGAAAAATTTCTAAACAATTTATTTAATCGTTTTTTTTTACCTTTTTCAAGCAAAAACGCAAAAACGTCACCATCAATAAGATGGTATTCAAATTGTTAACTGTGAGAAGAACCGTTTATTAACTGCTTTAACCTGAAAAGTTAAACAACCAGAATTTTATAGCGCTAACTAAGCTCACCTAATGAAGCCACTTAGTTCCTTGTAGCTGATACCATATGATAGCAGAGAGAGCTATTCTGTCAGTCTCAAGATGGACAGAACGGGGGTTCGAGTCCTGGTCAAAACAACAACAGTGTATTTTTTGCCATCTTGCACTCTAACATGAATGAGATACTAGTAGGGTTAAATATCATACAAATAAAAATTTTCCTCATTCTCATAAAAAAATATCATTGCAAAAATTTAAAGCGATGTTTACTAATTTTAAATTTTACAGAACACACTTTAAAAAATTCCAGGATCAAATTACGGTTAAAAAATACAGACGTGTGCCTCATCACTGGTGTATGCATCAATCATAAAATCCATTTTTCTGTAAAATATTGTACCGTATTTTATACAGTAATATTTATTGAATTCGAGCATTCAGTAATTTTACGGTAATTATTACTGTAAATATTACCATGAATTAAATTTTTTATTCCGTAACATATTCCAGTAAAAATGGATTTTACCAACAAAAAAAATATCACCACTCTAATTACCGGTACTTTTTGCGGGAATTTTTTACCGTGCAATAATCCTCAAAAATGAAATTTTTTTTATTCTTAACTCACGTAACCTTGTTTTTTGTGCTTCAGCTATTCATCTGCAATATCTTTTTTATTTACCTTATCTCATACAGGGAAATCGGAAATTCACGGTCATTAAAACACCATATTAATTATATACAATTAAAAATGGCTTTTACACATTTTAAGCAAAGTTATTTTCATTAAACTTTAGTTTCTATTATGATTTAATAGAAATGCCAAATTAAATGTTTTTCTAAACATTTAATATGACAGCTTTAGCAGACGAAAAAATAATACCTTGACAATGCTACTTAAAATGTAAAGATTTTATGTGCCAAAACGAGTGCTATATTTAATGGGGACCAAATTTTTATGCTTACTCAAACTTTTATGCTCACTCAAACTTTTATGCTTACTCAATCCTTAGAATGCTAACTCTTATGTTCACTCAAACTTACTTGCTTGTAGCTTCGTGTGTGTAGCTCCACGTGTTTGGCGCCTATTTCGTTAAGAGGGAAATATTAAAATAATAATGTATCCTGTTTCAGTGATTTCATTTCTTATATTTCAGTTTTTATTTGATTTTTGATGATTTTTAGTTCATTATTGAAGAGATTTTGTTGTTTACACTGACGCTGAGAATCAGTGAATTTAGAGCATTGCACACACAGTTTTGTAGAAATATCTCCCTCCCTCACCTCAACGAATTGAAACTAATTTTTTCTGTGTTTTTCCTGTATTCCTTCACCAATAATGACTATGAAAATATTCATTTTTAAAAAGTGTGGATTAAAGGGTGAGGAAAGAAAACTCTGAACTGTCATTTCACATTTTGTCTCGTGAGCACTCATGTTATCTGCAAATTTGAATCAAATTGTTCATTTGAATTTATTACAATATAACAACATTATTTACAAAAGACAGTGATTTTGTACTTAAGTATTAAAGTTGAAATGTTCCAGAATTCTATTTAAGTTGTTATATATATATATATATTTAGAAAAAACTTATAGAATAAAAATAAGGATACAAAGAAAATATTTGGGCCGGGCGTGGTGGCTCACGCCTGTAATCCCAGCACTTTAGGAGGCCAAGGCAGGTGGATCA